AATCTTTATAATTTTTATATAAATTAATTAAAAAATTAAATTTATGGTATATTTTTTATGTGTAAAAATCCATTAATATATTGTAACTTAGAAGTAAAAAACATTATGATTGCCACTACTAAAATTTTGGCTTTTAACAACAATATATCAGCAATATGGTTTGGTTTGTTGCTGAAAATATGTATCAGCAACATAGAGCTTCTTGCTGAAAGTTATTTGTACATCACAGCTTCCAAAAGCCTCCCCACTTTCAGCAATGTACTTCTTGTTGCTGAAAGTAACTTTCAGCAACATGGAGTATGTTGCTGATATTTACCGGTGAGCCCCCTCCCATTTAAATTGAGCTATACTTTTCAGCAACATGTTCCTTGTTGCTGAAAGTGAATTTCAGCAACAAGAGCTATGTTGCTGAAAACCTTAAGTATTAGCAACACATATCTTGTTGCTGTTATTCTTATCTTTTTACCAACTAAACATCAGCAACAAGGAACATGTTGCTGATATTCATTGACCGATGGTTGGCCAAATCTATATATATATATATACAAGTCGTCTGCAAGAGGGGGGAGTACCACCACTTGCACTTTCAACAACAAGGGGTATGTTGCTGAAAGTAAATTTTAGCAACATGCCCCTTGTTGCTAGCATTTTCTGGTCACTCACCATCCACACCACTTTCAGCAACATGGTTCTTATTGCTGAAAGTGAATTTCAGCAACAATAATCATGTTGCTAAAAATCCTTTAATTGATATCTCACCATATATACACCTAGCTCACCCATTATATAAACACCTTTTCATTGACAATATATACACACCTCTCACACTTCTCAATTTCTTGTTATTTCTCCCTTACTCTTGCAATTTATTTTTTTTATCCTTACATAATTATTTTTATATTATGATTTAAAAGTAATAATTTTTATAAATTTTAAAACTCTATTTTTTTGTTGCTTAATGGAGAGTAAAAAATATTTTGATTAACAATTGGAAAGTCAAGAATATTTTGACAACCAATTGGAAAGTCAAGATTATTTTGACAATCAATTGAAAAGTCAAGATTATTTTGACAATCAATTGGAAAGTCAATATTATTTTGACAGCCAATATAATGGTATAATTTTTTTTTCCTTCCCTTATTTCTCATTTCCCGTTTGTGCACCCCTTTTATTATCATATTACTTAACTTTATATTATTTTACACAGGAATCGTTGAGGATACTCCTGAATCATTATGGAATTGCCCATCTGAAAGTTCGTCCAAGAGGAAGTTGAAAAAAGCAAAGAATAATATATCAACTGACCAACATATTCCATTGCCTAATACTGTAAACTACTCTGTTTGTCAAATATGTGATACTCCTGGACATTTAGCTACAGTTTGCCCACACTGATATGCTGTAACTTGTCAACTGTGTAACTGTGAAGGTCATATTGCAAAAATTTGCTCAAATCGTTATCAATCACTATCTTTGTCAAATCCACCCAAAACCCCTGCTGAGTCCTCCGAAACTATTACAAAAATTTTTGGTAATGGTAGGCGTCTTACATTTGAAAAAAAGTTGTAATACCCCAAATTTTTGGGAATTTTAGCATTAAATTAAGGACTTGATTGTGAGAAAAGATTGTTTTGGGGCCTAATGTGAATATTCTGAAAGTTGAGGGACTTAAAGAGGGAAAGATTTTGGATAAGGATGACTTCTTTTCTTTTCTCCTTTTTCTTTCTTTCTTTACTTCTTCTTCCCCACGTGTTCTGCTCTGTCTTCCCGCTGCAGCCGCCCGAAGAAAAAAAAAGGGGAACCCGACCAGCCTTTGAGAAACCGGTGAGATAAGCTTGTTTTTCTCCTTCCTTTCTTGCTCTAGAACACACCTAGAACCCAGAAATCTTCCCCCTTGCTGGAAAAGTCGGATCTGCCCTGCTCTGCTTTGTCCTTCCGCCGGCTGCTCTTGATTGTGGGTGATTTCTGGGCATTTTTTCAGTAAGAACAGCCCCTAATTCCTTTTTTCTTGCTTGAATTAACTTGGGTCTACCTTAATTGCTCTTGGGTTCCTTTAATTTTGGGGTAAAACCTGTGAGTTCCCTGCAGGATTTCTTCTTCCATGCCGCCGGCTTTTCCCCAACCTGCAGTCCGGTTTTTTGCTTGCAAATTCTGGTATGTGACAGCCTTTTAAGGCTTAAATTGTCCATTTTGTTTGCTGCCTTGTGTGTCCGAAATTCTGCAGAAAATGGGGATAATTTCGATAGCTTTAAGATGAGATTTAAGCATTAATTTAAGTGGGATTTATGTGATTGAGTGTTAATTGCTTGTTGTGATTTTTGGAGAGAAAACCCCGTGAGATTATCTAGTGTTTTGGCCAATTTGTGGAAGTGGAGTTACTGTTCACGTTAGGGTACTGTTCACGGGTACTGTTCACGGGTACTGTTCACCGATACTGTTCACACCATGAGGGCCAACAATTAACGGGAATTTTAGTGATTAGTTTGTGATATAAGAACAAATTTGGAGATATTTGATCATGTGGAGATTTATGGAAATAGCATTGTGATTAGGAATGATCCTAATGATGATTTCAGCTTGAATTTGTGATAGTCCGGTATTAATTCTGAGGTGTTTTGATTAGGTTTCCGATCGTTTTGTCAGTTAGTGCGTGAATTGAGTGCTCGGTTTTGTGCGAGTGAGGTAAGTAAATTATGGTAACGCCCTTTGATTTTAAAAGCATGTTTTGATTTGTTTTTGAAGTGGTGGCGGGACTAAACCCGTTTTACACGAGCATGACTGATTTGAAGTGAAATGTTTATGTTTTTCATTAAATTGAGCATGCCTACTTGAAAGTGATTGTGAATTGTGAATTGCCTGTTAACTTCTGCCTGTTTTGTCTCCGATGTGGTCATGTTATTCGTGACCCTGCTAGTGGGGGAGGATATAAACGCTAGCACATGTCGACATGTAGTGATAGAGCTGGTTCGTTCAACCCAGCTAGTGGGGGTTATACACCAGCAAATCGTGGCCCTGCTAGTGGGGATTATACACTGGCCGTGACCTATAGAGGAGACGTCTATTTCGTTCCTGTACTGTATCCGATTTGCGTGATTGCACATGTTGGCATGCTATAAGTTTAATAATGGGCACTCTATATTTACTTACTGAGTTTATCTCATAGTTTTTCCTTGTCCACCATTTCAGGAAGTGAATCCGAGGACGGGGAAACCACGGGAAGTGACGAGTTAGAAGGCTAGTCATATTGTAATTGAACATAGATTTTATAATTTGATCTTCAGATTTTGATGGTATCAGAGTATGATATGATAAGTTCCGACCCTTGTGCACTTGTGGGACCCGTCTCACGAGTGTACGGCATCTGTTGCGCCTCGGATTTGGGTTCTGGGGCGTGATAAAAGTATTGGGATGCTGTTGTTCAAAAATTACGATCCATACAAGAACCATAATATAATTATCTTACTTATGTTCTTCAATTTTTTTTTCAATTTTTTGTCCAATTTCTCTTGTTTTCTTGTGATTATTTTATATATTTTGACATTACAACATTTATTAATGATTTCTAAGTATTTCTCACATTAATTATTAAAAATTTGCATCAAATTCTTTTACTTTGTGAACCACATAGTTCAAGAGTCTAATCTTACATAGTAGAGCCGACTGTAAAGGACTAAGAATTGACTCTCAACATAGAGAGTCGACTATTTGAAGGGGAAAAAATATGGTGCTGGGATTTGGTATTCGACTCTCCACATCGTAAAGTCGACTCTATGATGGAGAGTCGACTATAGGCAGCAGCAAATTACATTCCAGCATACTGGAATTTGGTAGTCGACTCTTCATATTATAGAGTCGACTCTGAATCCAAAAGAGTCGACTCTATAATGGAGAGTCGATAATAGGCTGCAGCAAAATGCATTTGCTGCTTACTAGAAAATGGGAGTTGACTCTTCTTGCTTGATAGTCGACTCTCATATGCCTGAAGAGTCGAATATAGGCCTATATTCGACTCTTTAGTCCATTTTTGCTATTTAATTTCCCAGAATTTGCTGTTTGCGTTTCTCTTTTTTTTCATGAACATCAAATATGTAAAAAATACTATTGAATCATTAAAACCACATGCACATCAAACTTTAAAACCACATCCAAAAATTGCCATTCAAGCACACTATGGACTACCAACTTGCTTGCCATCAATGGAAGCACATCAAGAACATAATCAACCAATACAAATCAACACAATTATGCTATGCTCATTGATGTTAAAATCTGTATTCAATTAAACTGCATCTAATGGCAACATTATATGTACATATTCAAAAATATAAAAAGTCAATACATTAAGAAAACTTTCAAAAGATTGTTCAAACATTAAAATGATAATTTAACAGTCATCAACAACTGCAACGGAAGGATTTATGCTTCCGGATTTGAAAAAGGATCAGTGGGTTGCTGTTTAGAGGATGTGCCAACAGTAGACGGATCTCCTCTTGTCCCTCGAGGACCTATAGGTGCTGCCATCTGACAGTTGCAGATGTGATCATCGAGCTTTGCTTCAATCCGTGCAAGTCTCTCGAGAATGAGCTGCATTCCTCTTTGTGTGGTTAATCTTTGAGGAACTCGAGATGAAGTAGCTTGTGAAGGACCTGCTTCTTCAGTTTCTTTGGCATGTTCTTCATCATCAAACCCCTCACCTTCATCGTCTTGTCCCCCTCTTCTCCTTTTTTGCTTCATTTCCCATGAATTTGTTCTTGCACTGAATACATACCCCATTTTGCTCAGTGAACTCTCATTCAAAAGCTCATGACTGTGTAGGTCTCAGGACTCCATTCCACGCAAATCAACACCCTCATTTTCCATAAGTAATGTGATGAGAGTGCCATACACTAGTGCGAGTGTCGATCTACCCCTATAATACACCATTAGTCTCATAATATGGTGTCCTAAATTAATCCGCCTTTGATCAAGAATATATGCAAACCACACAATTTGGACCACTAAATTTCCCAAAAGAACCTTGTTTTGGCAAAATTATGTGATTGTAAATCCAAAACATTAACCGATTCTCCAAATTCAAGTGGTGAATGGTTAATATTTGTCCCTCATTATACTCATCCCCCATGATAAATTTCTTTGCCGATTCCTCTATAAATGCATTCAATTCGATGGCTCCCTCATTTGGCAAATGTAAAACATCATTTATAGTTTCAGCATCAAATTCAAAAGTTTTCTTAAGGATTGTTGTTCTATACCCTTCATCCTCCGAATCACTCAAATTTGCATAAAAAATCTTTATCAACTGCGGGTAAACCTTCACCTTTCTACTTACAAATTCAGTCCACCTCATTGCATCTAACATTTCTCTAATAGCCCCCATTTGCATATATCATCTAAAAATACTTTAAAACCATAAACGACTTTTCTATTTCCTAATTTATTATAGGCTTCTATAGCATTTCTAGATACAAAGTTTCGAGGGTGATCGGGTTGAAATACTTGCTCCGTGTCTGTGCTTTCACCATTGTCCTCAGGACTTTGCTCAGCCTTTCGACGCCTTCCAAACGTCCTTGCCGCCTGCCCCCTTGCTTTCTTTACAACTCTTTTAGTCCTCACCATTTTGTATGACTATGCATGAATCTTAGAGAAATGGACCGAAAATGGTGTGGGTTGTGTTTGGGTGAGTTATTTTGGTGAAATTTGGGAGGATTTTGGCTGGGTTGAGTGTTAGGTTTTTCAGAGAGTCGAATAGGAGAGAGAGGGAAAATGGGGAAATATGGAACAGGAGCAGTTTTAATCAAATCCCGCGCCAAAGAGTCGACTCTATAACTTGAGAGTCGACTCTCACAAGTAAAACAGTCGACCCTATAAAATAATAGTCGACTTTGACTGGAGGAAAGTTTATTTCCCTGCAGCCATAAGAGTCGACTCTGATCTGCACCTAAATGTTTCGCTGCTCTCTGGAATTTGGGAGTCGACTCTTTGTATTATAGAGTCAACTCTGTACTGCACCAAAATGTTTCCTGCTCTCTGGAATTTGGGAGTCGACTCTTTGTGTGATAGAGTCGACTCTAGTGCCTATAAGAGTGGAATTTACATTCATAGAGTTGACTCTTTACTGTAATTCATAATTATTTCTAATTTTTCGCAGTAACAGTCGAATATATAACGTATTTATATTAAAAAAATTTAACATTAACCATTTATAATATGACAATAATTTTACTTTTAATATATGTCATCAATTATATTAAAAGAAAATGTCATTTATAAAATTTAAAAAATTATGCAAACTCATTTAGTTGATAACCAACATTAGTATTTAACTTATATATTAATGGTATGTACTAATATTAATTTATATTCCTTTTAACTCGTATTTTTTTATCTAAAATATTTTGATTTATTTACATTATATTTGATGTATTAAATCATTTATACTATTAATTTTATATTTAGATACATATTACTTCAACTATTGTATTTTTAACTATTAATATTGATTTAAAACAACTGCACCCAAGAATCCAAATCCGAATCTTATATTTTGGGGAGTGTGTATGACCGTCACATCCATCCCCACTTCCATCCATCTGCTACTTGGAATCTTGACTGCAATATAATTAACTTTCAGCAACAATCACTTTGTTGCTGAAAGCCTCACCCTTTTACCATCACACTTCATGTTGGTGTTGTAACTTTTCAGCAACATAGTGCATGTTGCTGAAAGGCTCATCCTTTTAGCATCACACTCCATGTTAGTGATGTAAGCTTTTAGGCCATCCCGTCTTCCCACACACTCTTTGCTTTCTACACCATTCTTCCCCCTAAAACATTGCTGCCATATTTCCTCCCATCTCTACTTCATCTTCCTACCATAATTTGCCACAATCCGAGAAGGCAATTAAGATTTTTAAGGATTATTTACAGTACAAGCTTTCATATTTTCATTCATTAAGGTAAGTTTACCATCTTCCTATTGTTTCCTTATATTTTTTCTACCCTCTTTAATCTTATAGTTTAAATCCATTATCTTTTGTATTTATAACCCATTTCTGTTTAGTATTTGATAATTTATAATCTACATACTGTGAAATAAACTTCTGCAATTTGCATGTACCATTTCCCAATTGCCCTTCATTTTTATTTTAAGAGCAAGTTTTATTTCTCATTAGTTTTCACCATGATCTTCATTATATTTGAATGTTTTCTTGTATATTATAGTTTTTGCTTCTATCACGGACGAATGAAAATTACGTTATTTTTTACTTATTATTGTTTATTATATTATACATAACTTACAGAAAAAAATAGTAGTTAATACAAATATTATTATATTGTAAATATACATTTGTTATACAAAAATTAAATATTAATATGAAATTTTCGGTTCCCCTTAGATGGCATTTTCAGTAAGTTTTTCATTAGAAATAACGTAATGGTTAAACTCCAAATTTTGCTCCATACATTTAA